AAGGCCTGGCACCCTCCGGGAGCGGGTTGGAAACGGTTCCTCTGCGGATTTGGGGGGGAATATGGGGGGGCTGAGCGTGCCTCCCCTTAACTCGTCGCTAAGACTTCTGTTTCACGTCCCAGGCTGAAGGAGATACCAAGGGCGATAAGGCCAAAGTTAAGGATGAGGTAAGAAGTTCAATATTTTGAGAAAGTTGGATCATAAAGTGTTTGCGTTGGAAGATGAGGTTTAACTTCATCAGAACAGAAGAATTAGGGGGAAGGGTTGGTCTTCATTGATTCTGCCTTTTCAAAGTATTAACTTTTTCTTAACCTTAACTATGAAAAATCTACTTAATTACTGTTAGTTGTTAGTAGTGATTTAAACGTGATTTAAACATTTCTTGAGAATGGGGAAGAAGTGAGCTAAAACCTTAAACGTTAGTTCTGAGATTTTACTACTTTGAAATTAGAGTTAGTTTATGAGTTTTTGAGAGTTTATATTTCATCACATTTAATTCACTGTTCTTTTTTAACAGCCACAACGGAGATCGGCGAGATTATCTGCTGTGAGTATTCTCTTGTTGAGCAGGGACGTCGCAACACTTAGTAGTTTCAGACTTGAGTATTAGGTACCGCATCTGTGTGAGAAATGTAGGTGTTCTGGAGAGGTGGATTGTTCAGTTGAACAAAAGTTGCTGGCTTAACGAACTGCCCCATTGTGTGGTGCTGTGGGAGTGGTAGAATAATTGACAAATCAAGTGAGTGCTTCAATTTCAAATGTGTTTATTTGCTTTCCTAAGACTAAACTACAGGGGTTGAATGTTTTTTTTAAAAAAATGGTATGTTTCTCTTAAGGTAATCGGAATAACACAAGGGTTTTTTCTGATTTACAGAAGCCTGCTCCTCCAAAGCCAGAGCCTAAACCTAAAAAGGCAGCTCCAAAGGTGAGTCGTCATGTCAGCGCTATTACTGAGAGGTAAATGGGTTATGAGGTTTAGATTTGTTTGGTAATAACTAATAAAACTTTGAATAACAGCGTATGTAGCGATGACATCAAGCTGCATTGTCGTTTCTATAAAGTTGCACTGAAAACTGCTGCATTTTACAAAACTTGCATTAAAAATTACTCTTCACAGTTGTTGTCAATCTTTTAAACATGCAGATGTTTGTGTGTTGTGTTCTTTTCGGGCCAACATCCAACGTTGGTTTTTTACCATTCTAGTTTTTGGATTCTTGTGGCTTAATGACTGGATGTTGGTAATTGTTGTGGTGTACGTCATCTTACATTTACAGAAGAGCGAGAAGTTGCCCAAGGGAAAGAAGGGGAAAGCTGATGCTGGCAAGGAGGGAAACAACCCTGCAGAAAACGGAGATGCCAAAACAGACCAGGTATAGTGGTGGCTCTGGCAGTGTGTCTTACCTGAGCGTGTTTTTTTTTTTTTTTTTTTTTTTTTTTTTTTTTGTATCAAACACAGACAAGTCTAGGCTTGCACTAATGAAGAGGAATTATTGCTTGATCATTTAGCCCTGTTGCTTAATGACACGAACAACA